CCCCCTTACTGCTGACTCAACTCACAACCCAACAACAACAACAACAAGTCCACCATGGCTATGTCTTCCTTCCTTCAACCTCCTCTCTCAAGCATAGGTCATGACGGACTACTGGAAGGCAGCTATGATGCAGCCCTGATGCCCGAAAGACAACCCAAAGCAGCTATGTCGCTGCTTGACTCGGTCCGCTATGCCTGACCCTGCCTCTAGCTGCCCTGGTGCAGCATTACCCCAACCGGGGACTTCCAGATGCAGCGCCCAACAAGGTGATGAAGACGGTGTCCACCATAGCCAGGTAAGTGCMCTACCACTCTCCTACCATGTCCCCCTTCTTCCTCCTTCAAGCTGGGGTGCTCGCCATAGCCAGGCTGAGCCCCARCAGACCKTCACCTCCAAGCAGTGCTGCCTCAGACCAGCGCTGCGCTCCAGCAGCATGTCGCCAATCCTTGCATACCGCAAATGAGGAAGAGCTCACCGCTCTTCCTGAAGATATAGCGGCCTACCGGCCTCCTGGGCGGTGACTTCCTCGGCCAAGCGGCCTCCCAGCAACCAGTACCTCCTCCCTTTTGGAGGGAAACATCATTGCAGGCTCTGTTATTGTCCGCACAGGCCCTAGCCCCGGGCTACTTGGACTGGTACCAGCCTACCTCTAACCTACCGCTACTGGGCCTCTAAAAATGCCAACTTTTTGTCTTCTTCTGCTCGGCCTACCTGCTACTTGAGTGTTTTTCCCCAGCTGCTCTAAGTGTCGCGGGCCTACTCCCCGCTACCAGCATGTTTACCCCCCTGCAACCCTCCAAAGTCACGGCCACAGGTAAGTACCGGCCCGGTGGGCCTTGCAACCAACGAGTACCCTCGCGGGTTACACACATACCCAACCAGCAAGCACTCAGACAGGCATGCAACCCAGCAGGCACGCACACACACACATCCGGCAAGCACTCAGACAGGCATGCAAACCAGCAGGCACGCACACACACAGACTTGGGACCACAGCAGAATGCGGGAATCACAGCAAGGCATTCATTCCATTGGCAAATCCCAGAAATCAGCAGTGTTCTCGGTCTGTGTTTTGGGCGGGTCATTACATTACTCCCCTCTCGAGAGCGAGGTCCCTTCGAGCGAGTAACTCAGTCAGAGTCGGCACAAAAGGCGTCATAGGCATAGATCAAAAAGAGAGTGTTAGTGAGTCCGAACGGAGTGAGTTTTGCAGCAAACTTAGTGGTCTGTCCGTCAACAATCCGTCGTTCATATGCGTTCACAACACGTGGAGCACTCTTTATCAGTTCTTTCCGGTCGATCCAGAAGAATTCTTTCAACGGGTGGTAGAGGAAATGAACTTTGTACTGTCTGTTCCTTCCTCTCCCCTCGTGAGAAACGACTCTGTCAATCTCATGGCCGCCGTCAATAGGGCGAGGTATCATAGGATCACGGAGGGGAAAAGTCTCATCATCAATGTGTGGGAACAGTTTGGAGGCATGGAAGACTGGATACGTGCGCAGACGAGGAGGCACGTCAATCACATACGAAGGACCGAAATCATCCCCGACTACCTTCAGAATCTGCCAAGGGCCGTAGTACACTGGAAGAAGCTTCCGTGATATGCCCTCTTCATCAGAAAACTCAGACATTTTGACCCAAACATAATCCCCTACTTTGAACTTTTCTTCTTTGCGCCGCTTATTGGCATGTTTGATCATGGCATGCTGGCGCTTGTTCATAGCTGCTGTAGCAGCTTTGAGCAAGCGTGCGTACTTGGCATTGTAGCCAGGCATGCCGGGCATCAGACCAGGTGACCGTTCAGGGAACAGATAGGAGAGGGGATTACGCATCGGCCATCCATACTGCAATTGGTTTGGTGTCACACCAGTCGCAGAGTGAATGGAGTTGTTGTACAGCCCCTTCACTTTGTGCAATTCCTTGTCCCACGTGTTCTGATCTGGAACAATTAGTGCGCGAAGTAATTAGATGACAGTCTAGTTGATCTCCTCAGCCAATCCGTTGGCTTCGGGGTGTCCACCAAAAGTCCTGTTCAGTTTGATGTCGTAAACTGAGATGTGAAGTCTTTCCAATCTTTGCTGATGAATCTGGTGTCCCGATCACTCACAATAGTTTTCGGGACGTCGGACTGCAGAATGTACTGCTGATGGAATTCTTCTATGACAAGTTCAGTCGGGGCGTGAGGAGGGAGAGGAATCAAGTTCAGAAATTTGGAGAAGCGGTCCACAATGACCATGACTTGTGAATTCCCAGCCTCACTCACCTTTCCCATGTCCGTGAAGTTGATGGAAATCGACTCGCCGGGTCCATCGGGAATGGGAAGAGGTCTCAATAGGCCATAAGGCTTATGCCTGTGAACCTTGATTCTTTGGCATACTTGACATTCGGCAATAAATTTCTGAGCAGATCCTTTCATTCCTGGCCAGTCAAATTGTTGCAGAAGGCTTCCATAAGTCTTCTCAAAGCCAAAATGTCCACTCCGACCGTGCGCCAGATCCAAGAAGTGAGTTCGGAGAGGCGCATGGTTGGGTACACACAAACGGTCAAACTTTCCGTACCGGCGAAATACAAGACCCTCGCATTCATGAAAATCAGGCTGACTGTTGGGGTCAGCCTTGAGCTGCTCAAGGATGGGACTAAGGTCCGGATCCTTGGCAGTGTGCTCGACCAGATCCTCCTTCAGTTTCCTCCGGAGGTCGTACGAGTCCACAAGGCAAGTCAAATACTCGGGATGGCGCGATAGAGCATCAGCAACACGATTATAGCAGCCTTTCTTATGTTTTAGTTCAAAGTTCAAAACATCAATATCATGCAGCCGGCGGGTCAGAGTTGGAGAGAGATCAGTTTGTGTCTTAATCCATTGCAAGGTCTGATGATCTGAATAGACCTTGAAGTGGAGACCCAAGAGGTAGTGCTTCCAATGCGTGAGCGCCTCGCGCAAGGCGTAGAGCTCCCGCATGTATGTGGAAGTGGCTACCTTGTGGCTGGGCATGCGTTTGCTGTAATATTCAAGCGGACGCAGACCATCGCCATCATCTTGTTGCAGCACTGCACCAATCCCAAACTGGCTCGCGTCCGTAGTGACTACGAACGTGAGGTTGGGATCCGCAATGCGGAGCACAGGATGACTCACCAAAGCCTCTTTCAAGGCTTGGAACGCAGTCTCACACTTTTCACACTACGCATAGGCAACATTCTTACTAGTCAGGCGTAGAGTGGGTGAGCAATGACAGAGAACTTAGGCAGAAACTTCCGGTAGTAAGAAGCCAAACCAAGAAAAGAACGCAGCTCGCGTACATTCGCCGGTTGAGGCCAGTTGCGGATGACCTCAACCTTGGTTGCCTCCGGCTCAAGACCGCTTGCAGACAACCGGTGCCCAAGGTAGATAATGTTTTCCCTGGCAAACTCAGATTTCTCCAAGTTGAGGTGCAGTTGAGCATCTTTGAGGACTTGCAAGACCTCCTCGAGATGCTTGACGTGCTCCTCCATGGACTTG